GAGGTGTGGCCTCACCAATGCTGAGTATAGAGGGGCAATCACTGCCCTGTTCCTGCTGGCCACACTATTGCTGATACAGGCCAGGATGCTCAATGGAGGTGGAAGAGATGAGATTTTACCTCAAATTTATTTCTAGGTTTGTATTGTTTAACTGAAGCAGCAGAACACTGCGGTAGGGCCTCTGTGAACCTCCCAGCTATAGAAAAAACAGATGATATCTATTAGTATTGCTGTAGAACCAGCAATACTGAACCATTTTAGGATTTAAGGAGATATGTGGTATCATAGATATTTCCTTTCTGCCTTAGAAAGAGATACGCACAACGAGGTTTCAGGAGACAGGCTTCTCATCGAGAGAGGTGGTGGAGGGTTGCTGAACACGTATACAAGTCCTGCCTTGATGAAGTGCTGCCTAGTTTTCAATATCAGAGGAGAGACCCTATTTCAGCTGTGAGAGAGCTGCACACCAAGTAATTCTCTGGGAACAGTCTCTGTGAGCACTTTGGGGTATTCAGACAAAAGGGAAAGAAGGGATACAAGAGACGAGAAAGGTCACTGAGTGTTATGAAAACCATGCTTTTTGACACGTGGGATTTATATGTCCCAGAAACTGGCAGTGTTTCATGAGGCAACCCAAAGGCTGAGTAGGGGACTGAAGCTGTCCTCAAACTGTTAATTACCTGTCAGTGGGGTAGATTCTCTCAGCTCCACTAAAAACATAACTGTCCTTTATTTCAAATGGCAGTAAGGCCGAGCTGAATACTCTGGTCGCTGAATCACTTTCTTTGGTTTTGTTGCTTTTACGTTGTCAAGGCTTTATATCTGTTCAGCAGCACGCACTCCTCACCGTGTTGCATGCTATACTAATCAAGCTTTTATTATGTATTTTTAGATTGTCCCCACAGTGTGCAGAGGTCTGTGGGGCTTTTTTAGCCCAGCATATCAATAGAGCTTATTGCCAATGTTCCTGGTAGAGGTACTGCATCTACTTATCCCGATTGTCCCTTGGAAAAATTAAATTGTTGCAATGTGAGTGCAAGGTTCAAGGTCCACTGCATAGGAAAATAGAATTGATTACTCTCAATGAACAGAGGCTTGCAGCTCTTAAGAACATTATATGATAAATATATTGGCACATACTATGCATTTGGCATGCTAAGTAGTTTACTGAACTATTCCCTGCATCATATTTTAATGAAATGCTGACAGTTTGGCATCTTATTGGATAACTGCATTCAGTGGCATTGGTTACAAATGACAGATGTTAAGGAAGGCATACAAAGTACTCTGTAAGGCGGTAACTCCACAACTTTCTGCTCTCTGTTACTACACTCCTGGAATTTATCAACAACAAGCACATGATTTCCTCCAGTTTGGCATCTAGAAACTTCTGCCTTTAAGCTCCCAAAAAAAAAAAAAAAAAAAAAAAAAAAAAGGCATGCAGAGTATTTTTTCCAAAGATCTTGGCTTTATCTGCCAAAGGGATGCCATTAGCATCCCATGTTAGGCAGGGCGTGTCTCTGCCTCTCACTCGGATCCTGCTGTGCTGCCTGGTGCACAGGGCAATGTGGCCAGAGAAATGGGGAGCCACAAGGGCCAATCCTGGCTCCAGCACTCTCTGAGACATGGACAACACTGTCACAGGACCTGGGACTGGCCATACCTCTCCACCGCTTTTCTGTCTTTTTTTTCTGAGTCTGAGGAGAAGGTTTATCTATGACAACAGGATTAAAAAAAAAAAACAAACACAAACCTTTAATCACAGGTGGGATTTTTTTAGCTGCAATAATTTCACAGTGGAAGTAATCAAACTACACAGACAATTCTCCTATCTTATATCCTCATCTGCTCCTAATCCTACTATTACCTGAGGTCTGTTCCTAGAATAATGTTTTTCTGTCATTCACTGCGTCAAGGCTCTAAACGTATAAATGGGTAGCATCTCACTCTCCCAGGATTACAGCTCCCTTTGCTCAAGAGAAGGCTGTAGACGTGGCCCTGATTCTTTATATTGCTGGTGCCACCAAGTGTTGAAAGACTGGAAGTGGCACCGCAAAACACACACTTTGCAAGTCACAGGCGGCCGATGCCTTTAGGGCATGTCCTGCAGCCAGGACCTCACTGCCACCTGTTGTGACCATGCCTGTCCGAAGACTAAAATCCTAAACTAGCTTCGACTTTCTCTGATGGAACTGGGCACTTCCAGAAGTATATAGTTCTTCCTCTGAGGTGTTCTTTTCTCTTCCTGGTTAGTACTAAAAGGCAAAGGAAACTTTTCCCTTGAGTGTTTCAAGGCTCTTGGTCCTAGCCTTTAAGGGGGTAGTATCATTTATCTCTTTAGGAATGATTTTGGGAATCGATCATCCCGGATGCACTGTTACCCCACTGTGATTAATTACCCTCATATACAGTTTCAGCCAAGAGAAGTAGCAAGGTGCCTCCATGCACATCATCCAGAGCTTTGCATCATTAGTGTTTATTGATGTGAGACAGATAAGAGATGTGAGTCAGTGCTGTTATGTTTCAGAGTATTGTGGTGATTTAGTCACTAGCAGACAGTTTATTCTTTCTTGAGTGGTCAGTTGATAGCTTGCTGCTATCAAGTAGTATGAGAAAACACATCTGACCTAAGAGAGCATCATGAGCATCTCTAAGCTTAGTACTGCCCATCCCCAGATCCCAAATCTAACTATTCTCCACCTTCCTTTTCCTTTGTTCCATATGGGTCTTAGCTCTTTCAGTGGCCATCATCTGCTCCCAGATACCAGGAAATGTGGCAGACATGCTGTTCCACAGTGTTTGACTGGCCTATTGCCCTGTGACAGGACAGACCTCACCTTCACTCACCATTTGTCAAAGGATTGCTGCTGCTCATATAGAGTCATAGGATCATAGAATATCCTAATTTGGAAGGAACACACACTGTGTGCCTGAGAATATTGTCCAAATGCTTCTTGAGCTCTGGTAGTCTTGGTGCTGTGACCACTTCCCTGGGAAGCCTGTTCCAGTGCCCAGTCACCCTTTGGGTGAAAAACCTCTTCCTGACACACCTGGAACACATGGATCAGTTCTCCCAAGTTAGCTGCAGAAGTGAAAATCCATGTTGTGGCTTCTGGACCATCGTAAGTGGTTCATTCTTGGTTTGACAGGGTAAAATAAGGTCTCCCCGATCCATTCACACTTTGCAGTCACAATTTGGCCACAGATCCCCACTCTGCCAGTTATCCAAGATCTCCTTCCTAGGCCTTCACAGAATAAATCCAGAATTGGAATTGCCGAAGGAAGACATTGTTTTGTCCTGTGTCTGCTCTGCTCTGTTACATAGTGGTGACAGAAGTTAGAGTGTCTCTTTTGCTATGTTTTATGATACTTTTTTCCCTTTTTCATTTAAACGGATTTTGATACAAGTCTGTCCCAACAGTAACTTGCTGCACTGCCACCAGGCAGTCTAACAGCATGTATAAGCCTAGATTGGCCATCCCAAACCCTGGTCAAATGAACAGCCATGGGTTCCAAGGGATGGTTTTGACTGAAATGCCTTACATGCAGTTTGTTAATGCATGGACACTGGCATAAACTCTTAGCTGCAGAAAGGCCTTTTCCAGTCCTGTTTCCCAGAAGGATGCCAGCAGCAGTACAAAGCAGCATTAAATCAATCAGCCAGTCATTCTGTAAGTACCTTGCACAACCAGGTAAATAAACAAGTCCTAGACACCCTAAAACACTGTAGTTATTTACCCCTTTGTCAGGCTAAGCCATTTCAGACAATCAATAGGGGATATAGGAAAGGTCACCAACTGCCTTAATAAATCTCATCAAAGAACAACAGACAAACAGCAGTGGCTCCCTCTGAGAAGAGAAAGGTATGATCTTTAATGGAATAAATTCAAGATTACAAAGATACAAATATTTAAGCATTAACATTACAGACTAAAGAAATATTGTAGAAAAGGAAGCTATTCAAAGCATTGATCTTTGTTCCCAGTTTCTTACAGCTACAGAGGTCTCTATTCTTTTTTGACACATAGAAAGGAGTTTTGGAGGAAAACACATACTGATCTAACCTGATGGATGCACTTGTAAAGTAATAGCTTTAAATGCATTTTGAACAGTCATGAGGAGAAGGATTTGGGGTTGTTGGTTGACCAGAAGCTCAACGTGACCAAGCAATGTACACTTGCAGCCCAGAAAGCCTGGGCTGCATCAGAAGGAGTGTGACCAGCAGATTGAAGAAGCTGATTCTCCCCCTTATGAGACCCCACCTGGAGTACCGTGTCCAGCTCCGGGACCCCCAGCATAAGAAGAACGTGGACCTTCTGGAGTGAGACCAGATGATGGACACAAAAATGATCAGAATGAACAGAACTCCTCTCCTATGAGGAAAGGCTGAGAGAGTTGATGCTGTTCAGCCTGGAGAAGAAAGGGCTTCAGGGAGACCTTCTGGCAACCTTCTAGTACCTAAAGTTACTAGAGAGCTGGAGAGGTACTTTTTGCAAAGACATGAAGTGATAGGACAAGGGGCAATGGCTCTAACCTGAAACAGTGTAGGTTTAGATTACACATTAGAATGAAATTATTCACTGTCTAGATGGTAAGGCACTAGAACAGGTTGCCCAGAGAACTTGTGGATGCCCCATCTCTGGAAGTGTTCAAGGCCAGATTGGATGGGGCTTTGAGCAACCTGATCTAGTGGAATGTGTCCCTGTTCCACAGCAGGAATGTTGGAACTAGATGATCCTTAAGGTCCCTTCCAATCCAAACCATTCCATGATTTATGATCTAAAACCAGCACACCAGGAATACTCAGTAGATCTTATTGTTACCTTGTTAAACATCTGGATTTTAATAAAAAATATAATAGCAATATCCAAAGCCTTTCACAGTGCTATAGCTATGAAAACAGGAGTTAGTGAGGGTAAATATGGCCTAACAGCTGGCTTTTATTTAGGAACCTAAATGGGATTCCCTCACTTTCCCTTTATTTACAACATTATATAATTAAACAATTAATTAACAGCAAATTACTGGAGTAGATCTGCAAAGCACCTGAGGATAAATTGCTCTAAGTGACAAATAACCTTCACAGAGACACATTAAATCAATTGAGGTGATTAGGTAACTCAGACATAAAAGAAGGATGTGCTGGACTGCAACCCTTGCTTGTGACAAAGAGGTTCTTATCCTGTTGTCCTGTAACTGTACCTCAGACTGAGGTGCAGACAGAAGAGGGGTTTTCAGCTGAAGCACTGATGACATTTGAATAAGATGCTTGTATGAAACCTCTGAAGTTTTCATGAGGAAAGTTGTGGTCCTTATTGAGTAACTGATAAGGTGCTTACTGTCCTTTGCCAGTAAGTGCATGCTTGCTTTTGGCAACCTGCAGGAGGTAGACAGTACTATCTACGTCTGTGCTGGATAATGTCGCCCTGCAGAAAAACTCACAGCTTTTAGGCTCAAAAACTATTGCACTTGCTCAGTTTGAAACCCGAGCTGTGTATCTCTGGTTAACACCATCTGGAAGGACCAGAGCTGGGCTGCTCCAGCAGTAATCATTTATTCTTTCCTTCAGGGAAAACTGGTGTGCAGTCACTTAAGACTAAACACGGAGAAATATTAACTGTGCTGTAAATCCCAATGACAAAAGGAATATGTGTCCAAGTAAAATAACATAAACATAGCCTGTGTGCCCTCAAAGTGACCTGCTCTTTGAGAAGGTATTGTTTTTTCTCATCAGAAAAAGATCATCACTGAAAACACCCTAAGGGAAGGAAAAGGATCATTGGTCAATGGTAAGTGTAGAGATAGAATAATTCAGATTATAACAGAGGTGAAAAAGAGTTTCACTTTTCTCCTGATCTATTCTTAATATGCCAAAATGATTTAACAGAGGCTTTAGTTACATGAAGTACTTAAGACCTTATTTCTCTTTCTTAAGAAAGAAAGATTACTGAGGAGATGCAGCCAGGGGAGCTTGCCACACTAAGACAGTAATCTTGGCTAAAATATTTGAGAGAACAGAACTACAGTTTGAACTCCACCCATTGAAAATTAAAGGCTAAAGGTTTATTGCCCGTTAAAGGTTATTACGCATTATAACTACATGGTTAGAAAACAGAAGAACTAGTGTTGATATTCACAGGGTTAAAAATGGCTTGCAGAATTAGAATTTGAGACTAAGTTTTATGGGAGCGAGGAAAAATCTATATGGCTATAGACTAAGCATAGGTTTTTGGTCTCCAGATGTGTAAATAAGTTGCACCCTCAGTTTATCAGATTAATATCTCAATTTGGCATATGCATTTTGCTGATTTCATTCTGAATATTTTGCAAAACGTTAGGTAGTGCTGTAAAGCACAATACCAGTGAAAAATCAGGAGAGAAAATACTGACAACTTAATAAGCTTCAGAACAAGCTATGAAGAGTTAGTAGCACAGACTGCACAAGATCTATCAGGAATAGCACCTAAGTTGCTCTGTTTGAGCTCTTCTACTACTCAAGAACTGCCTTAGTGAACACAAATGTATGTACTACTGCATTAGCTGCATGTGCTGGCAATCTCTCAAAAGGAAGGTGCCAAAAATGAAATGCAGGGATGTTTAGCTCCAGCCTCTAACCTTACCCAAAGAAGGCGAGAGACTGTAGAATTAAAATGTCTTCTGTGCCTACCATGTGACTCTCACACAAACTACTGGTACAGCTGTGCTGTGGGGCAATTGAAAACCTTTAATTTCCTCCTGCAGATGATGCCCCTGGGACAATTTACAGAGCAAGCATCTGCAGTTGTTGGCTTGCTTTCAGCATTTTGAACCAAATCCTGTCATTCTTTAGCACACATCCATTTTGTGCAGTACTGGAAGTTCAGTGTCTGGTGGCCTGAGGCAGAATTTCTAATTTGTCCAAGAAACATTAAGCATAAGCACCATATGATAATTAATCAGTGATCATTAAAGCAAGAGTTACTCATGATGTCTCTGATGTTTATTAAACCATTTCCTTGGCATTTTAATCACAATATTTTCATGGTAGGATTTCCCTTTATTTAAAACAAATGTTGTGCCTTACACAATGTTTTAGAGTGGGTTTTTTATCAGATTCCTGAGAGGCATTCCTAATGATTCTCTTTCTCTCTTAATAGTTTAGTAAAATGATTGTGAAAGCAGCACCATGATTAAAATAGTACCTAGATCAGGAACCTCATACATCTTAGATGCAAATGTTTGGGTTGGCTTAAGCTTTGGTACAGATATTAAGCAGCATTGCTACACTAGAACATTCACTCCTCAGAAAACGCAACAGGACTAAGGCTCACTGATTAAGAAGATGCAAAGTAGGAAAATAAAAGAAGGGGAGAAGAGGAACAAAATCTTCCACCTTATAGAGAAAAAAAAGGAACATCTGATTTTCCAGAAGTGCAAACTCATGATTTAAAGCAAAGTGATTTTGAAGTCTATACTTACATCAAATCAAGAAGGGTTTGCTTTTTTTTATGAGGAAAATGAAGTGTTATCCTGCTGCATGTTTCAGTGTTTTGAACATTCTGATTCTGTGAATTTGAACATTCATTTTCAAGAGGCATACGAGGATTAGGTCCTAAGAATAGTGTTTTCTAGACCCAACTCCTGACTGGTGAAGACAGGGATTATTAAGATATCTGTGGTGCATGGAGCAAGAGCTGGGTTATTCAAAAGAACAGAGGGTAAACATATTTCTGTCCTGTCAAACTCTCAGATTTTCCTTTGAGAGGTTCAGTGTTCTCTCAACAGAAAGCAAACACTGGTATGAGTTAATACCTCTTCATCACTAAGCCAAAGCAGTTGCTCTCCATCAAGGAATAAAACATAGCCATGAGACCAACTTTAGCTCATGACCTGTCATGGCATGCTGATACTCTTTAAGTTTCTAACATGGCATAGCAAAGTAAGATGTTAACTACAGTGGCAAGCTAAGGGGAAGATTTAGATACATATCAAAACATATATATACTTTCTATGCATAAACTTTCACCCTCACCGATTCTTTTTTATTCCCAAGCCTTCTCTGATCTAGTTTTTCTTTACGCACTGCAGCATCTGAATTTTACAGGCTAATCTCACATGTATGTCTCTCACATACATCATACCAACCTCAGCACTTTTTGACATTATATTAGTATTACTTTACAGCGTAAAGCTTACACTTGGTTGCTACTCAAAGCAATCTTCCTGGGTAAGCCCAAGCACTGTAACCTTACAAAAATGCCATGAATTTAAGATGGATATTTTTCTAACAAGTAAAATCACTTTAATATTTTCTTGGTAAAGAGCTAGCTCTGCATATTCGCTGTTCATTCACTTACATTGAATGATATGAGCCTTGCAAACAGCTGGTTTCTTCTACTTGTACTTCTGCAGAGCTGAAAACCTTTTAAGGGCTGACACCTACAATGACCTCATTTCGAGAAACTCTGTTATTTCAGTTAGGTTATCTATATTCATTGTGTGGTGGTTTTGACTGGGATAGAGTTAATTTTTCAAACTGTGCTTATCTGAATCCAGGAGTTTTCTTCACTTATACTCTTCCAGTTCTCTCCCCCATCCTGGGTGGTGCTTACTTGCCAACTGGGATTAAACCCATAAAATCCTTTTTGATTCCCAGTGTGGGGCTCGAAGGGTTCCAGATAATGGCAGATTGAAATGTGCTAGACTGAATTTACAGATGTTCTTGCTGTTTAGCTATTAATTGACAGGCTCCTGTGCTTGCCATGGGGCTTGCTTGACTGACTGTATGATTGTAATGAGCCCAGTGCTCATTAGTGGCTGATTTTTACTTTCACTGCTCACTGTAGTACTGTGCTTCTTGCTATCAGCAGGAACCACCCGAATTAGTGCAGGACAAGCCTTGCAAGGAGCAGTGCAAGTGCAGCAGCGACCAGCCCAAGCTGCCTTTGGTGCCCAGTAACTCCATGCAACACACCACCTCACTTATCCTGAGCTACCACCATAACAGATGGAGCCTGAAGTCATGGACTAAATTAACTCAGTGGACGTTTGTAGACATTTTACATGCATTTACATGCAGGGGTGGTCCACAGGCTATGGGAATGATATCTGTGTATCAAAGGATGGGAAGACAGCAGGATTGTTACGGAGGATGTGTTGCATAGTGTGGGACCTGACCATGATATAAATGGTATGGAATAAGTGGTAGAGAATGAGCTGATTTTGGCTGGGGTAGAATACAGGGCTATGTTTTGGATTTGTGCTGAAAACAGTGTTGATAATACTGAGATGTTTCAGTCACTGTTGAGCAGGGCTTACATTAAAGTCAGGGTATGTTTTGCCTCTCACCCCACCCCAACAGTAAGGAGTCTGGGAGTGCACAATGAGTTGGGAGGACACACGGCCAGGACAGCTGACTCCTACTGACCAATCTCATATGGCATTGTGCTCAGCATATAAAGCCAGGAGAAGATGGAGGAAGGGGGGCATGTTTGGAGTAATGGCATTTGCCTCCCCAAGTCACCATTATGCATGGTGGAGTCTTGCTTTTCTGGAGACGGCTGCACACCTGCCGGCTATAGGAAGTAGTAGATTAATTCCTTGCTTTGCTTTGCTCACATGCATGGGGTTTGCTTTACTTATTCAACAGACTTTATCTCAACCCACAAGCTTTCTCACTTTTCCAATTCTCTGTCCAATCCAATGTGGGGGGAGTGAGTGAATAGTTTTGCAGGACTTAGTTGCTGTCTGAGGTTAAACCATAACACATTGCCACACAAATCATTCCCCACAGTATTGCTCTCATGCTAAGATAAAGTGGCAGTTTCTAACAAGATCAGGAGAAAAGATGTCAAACTACATAATCTCTTTCAGCTCAGGGGGCTGAGACTTTTTGCGAAGTGCTTACTTTAGTCCATTACTAGGACTAAATAACTTTGCTACTTGAAAACCTCAGCAGAAGAGTTCTTTGTACTTGATCCTTGCCACATACACATGCACAAAAAGATTATTTAGGCAAGAATGATTTAAGTAAATGTAAGTTACATAAAACTGACAGGTCATTCAAATTAAATGCTCATGCCCTAGTCTTAAAATTTGGTACAGTGATGAAATAACATTCATGTGATAAGGCAAATGTCAGTTTAATGTTAACAGAGAAAATAGTCTTCTAGATAGTGTAGTTTATGTTACAGAACCAGGCTTTATATTTGTTTTTTGATAAAGAAACAGGCAAAATATACATAGTAATATCTGCTGCTCTGTTTGAAGAATCCCTTGATGCAAAGAGCTTATTTAAAATGATGTATTGTAACTCTGATATCTGTGGTTCTCAGCAGGATTTAGGGCTTCAAACACTGAAAACTCCACAGAGGTATTTTACTTCTCCAGTGTCTTCTTTTGATGAGCTGGTTGGTTGGCTTCTTAAAGAAAAAAAAAAAAAAGAGGGTTAAATATAAGGTTTAGAAAATTTTAAACTCTAAAAGATAAATCAAACAAGTGCTTCAATAGAGTAATATAGACATATGTTCAAAGAGAACGTGATAATGCTCTGGTTTTGCTTCAAGCTCAGCATTCTTCCTTTCTCACACTTGCAGTTGTATAAAGTAGCAAATATGGAAAAAATGTCAACATAGGTAGCTTTTCAACTCTGTTTCTTATAAAGTGCTTTCAGTTACACACTGGCAGCTCCTCTATGCTCTTCCAAAGGAGCCTAGAGATGCCTTTTCTCTGAGTTTGGCTGGCAGGCACAGCAGATCCCATTCTGGCAGAAGGTATCAGAAGCAGTGGTTGTTCTACTAGAAGGCACCTATGACTCCTGGGACCCGGAGTGGGTCTTGGCAGCCAGGTCTGCATGTGCCTTCCACCGCCTACAGGCACTAGCCACCCCACATGTGGGTATGAAACTTGAAGGTGCAGTGGAGAACTCCAGGCTGGGGGCAAAGCCTGAGGAGCACAGGAGACCAACAATCCAGCCCGAGCTGTTGGCACTCTGGAGTGAAGCATGAGCTGAGCTGGGGGTTGTGGGAGTTTGCCTGTTCAGTGGGGCTGGATAAGGCTGCAACAAGGAAAACACTTGCTGTTCAACAGCTCAACATGTGTTACTGTGTGAGGGGGAAAGTGTTGGCAGCCTGTGCTTGCCCAGGGATTGCAGTCCTTTTGACCCTGCTTACACATCTCCTTGCCTCACTGGTGTGCCTCTGCCCAGTCATCTAAGACAGCAGTCTCATTGCTATGCTGAGCCTTTGTCCCACTGCTCTTCCTCTTGCTCCGAACATGGTTTCCATGGGTAGGGTGCTCCTCCTGGACAGATAAGGTCCAGCTGCCGTTATGCTCTGCTGAATATACAAATGCCTCAGGTTTAATTCGTCTGGTATTCTCCCTAATGTAGGGACATAATTTCTTTTATTTCTTTCTAAGTTGCATAAGAAGAAATGAAGTAAAACTTTGTGCTGCAATGGCTGGGGCATGAACAATGGGTGAGGAGGCAAGGCCTGGACAAACATTTTGTCTTCTGTCTTTTTAGTGGGAGGCAAAGTTGAGTTTTCCCCAGTCACAGTGTTGGAGCTTGGTCTGACCAAATGCAATGCTAACTTCAGTGGGCACTGGGT